TAATGTTCAACAACAACAACAACAGCAACAACAACAACAACAACAGCAACAACAACAACTTCAATACTTTTAAGACTGCTCGCCCTTATATGCTCGAGTGTCCAATAACGCGTATTTCCCAGACCCTCGATACCCGCCCTCTTCGTCTTCGACCGAACCCCTTTTGGGGGGTATACCTTTCTTCCCTGCAGGCCAGGCCCCGGCAAGCGGCGGGGCGGCCGCGGACCGTCGGCCTGGCCAGCGGCAGCGCTGATCGGCGGGGCTGCCGCGGACCGTCGACCCGACCCCAAGAGGGAGGGGACCGACCACGACGACGACGACGACGACGACGACGACGACGACGACGACGACGACGTCGAAGACGACGGCGACGACGACGACGACGACGGCGACGACGAGCGAAAGCGAATGCGAGAGAGAACGACAGCAGGGCCACGAAGGGCACGAAGTAGGCCACGAAGGGCGACAGCGGGGACACGAAGGGCATGCGTATGGGGCCACGAAGAGCGCGAACGAGCGGGGGCCACGAAGTGCAGATAATGCGGGGCCACAGAGGGCAACGACGGGGCCACTGAGGGTAGCAAGTGGGCCACGTAGGACAGTGAGGGGGACACAAATGGCGACAGCGGGGCAACGAAGGGCACGCACATGGGGCCACAACGGGCGCGACTCCTGGGTGCCTGGGTGTCCGGAGCGCGGCGCTTGGGCAAATTGCAAGAAATTCCAACGCAAAACCATTCTTCAGTAAGTTGCAAGCAAGTCCCCAGCGAGAGCGCAATTCCAGAGCGCCGGGAGAGCGATTCCTGAATAAATTGCAAGGAAGTCCCAAGCGAGAGCGCGATTCCTGAATCAAATGCGAGGAAGTCACGGGCGGGAGCGGGGGTCCTGGCTAAATTGTAAGGAAGTCTCCAGCGGGAGCCATTGTTGTAACCCGGGGGCCATGGGGCCAGTTTGAGCAGGAAGACTTTCCCTGTCAAAAAACAGGGTGCGAGCGGCGAGGGGCACACTTTGATTGAGAAAAACTGTATGCACCGGTGGGGGGGATCAACAATAATTATTCTTCAGAAATGAGAATTCAACAACACATACAACAACAACAATAACAATACTAATCATAATAATAACAACACAACAAACATAATTTTCGCCACAGTTTCTCACTTTAGCCACGCACCCAGGGACAATGAATGACCGTTCGGCCCCCGCACTCCGATGTGAGGATGCAATCCGTTATGCTCTGTCTTGTTTTCAAGTGTAGTCTTCTGCCCAGCTGCGTTATGTTTTGTTGTGCTATATTGTGCTGTATTATGATGTGCGGTGTTATGCTCAGTTCTGCCAGGTTCTGTCGTGTTCGTGTCAGAAACAAACGCCGCAATCGGCACGACACGAACCTGCCGTATCCCTTCTCCCTCCCCTTCCTCCTTTTGCCTCCAGCCTCGCATCCCGCCTCTCCCATCTCGCCCATTCACCTCCCCTGTAGCCGTCACGTGTTGCATATTCCTTTGCCCGTTGTCGACCGAGTATCGCGGTCATGACGTGTTCTCCCAGTCCTCTCTCCCCCTCCCGAGGGCTGTTGAGGGTGGGATGTTCAGGTGCGCGGTCGCGCTGCCAGGGTCCCGGCCCCCGCCCCTTCGCCTTCCTCGCGTGCGCCCGAGGGGCGTCTTCCTTCTCGCTTCAACCCCCGTGCAGCCCCATGAAAGGTGGGGGGGGAGGCGTCATGCGTCGCGTCTGCGGGAGATCTCGCTCAGCGAGGGTGGGGTGCGTGCGCGCGATCTCTTGTAAGTCTTCCTCCCCCTTTTCGTCCTCCCCTTCCAGCCCCAGGCCTTCGCCGTGCTTTGCAGCGCATCGTGCTGTTTCGTCACCCGAGAGCTGCGAGCATATCCGTATCCGCGCCCTCGCGGTCTCGACTCCTTGGCGCGAGCCCGCGGATATGTGGCCGCACGGATACGTTCCGCGCCGGGCATCTGCGAAAAACGCCCCGTATCCGCGGGGTCGCGGCCCAGGGGCCCGGCCCGCGTGGCCGCGGATACGGATATGTGTTCGTCCACGAGTCACACCCGTCACACTCAAAGGCATTAGCCGCGAATCTGGCTGCTCCGTCTCACCCATCACGTTCTTTGTCTGCGGCCGCTTGACTCAAGCAGCGTTCGTGCGACGGAGAGACGCTCCCGAGGCGAATTGAGGCACCGAAAAAGGTACGGCGAGAGGCGGAGGGGCGTTGGGGGAGGGGAGACGGCGCTCAGAACATTCAGTCCTTGTGCGCGGGTGCAAGAGGCGCGCACAGCCGAACACCCGTCACACTTCCAAACACAATCCGGGCACTTCGCCCGACCACCCTCCGGCCTGCCTGCGAGCTGCTCGCGCCCGGGGCGCGGCTGCGCCGAAGCCCGGCCGCCCTCCCGCCGCCGCCGCGCGGCCGCGAGCGCACGGCCGAGAGCACCACGCCGAAGGGGCAAGCGCCTGCCGCGGGCGCAGTGGGCGCGGCAGCGCTGCACATGTGCAGTCAATATATTGGGCGCCCGAGTTATCCAGGATAACTCGGGCCAGGGGTAACTCGGGTTTGGATTGGGTCTCTGGACGCCCGAGTTATGGGGGATAACTCGGGCCCGAGGTAACTCGGGTTTGGATTCCCGAAAAACGAACCCGAGTTAGCCCTGACCCGAGTTACCCCTGATGATCTGTGGCTCTGGATCTAGGCACCCCAGATCCGGGTCGGGAGTAGATGTGGCCGGAGGATCACGCCGCATCGCCGGTGCATCGCCGATGCGTCGGCAGTACATCAGCAATGCGCGCCAGATTTTCTCCACACTGACGGTGCCGATGCGTCGGCGATGCACGGGGGATGCGGCGCGCTCTTCGTGCCTCGTCTTAGTCGGATTCAATCTTGGAGGCCTCCAGTCAAGGCAATGGGATAAGGATCATTTTGGGTTCACGAGTGGCTTTTGCTTGCGGGTCGCTCCTTAGAGCTAGGTCGAGGAGCATATTCTTGGCCGAGGCTCACCGGGCTTGCCGTGGCCAGAAAGCCCCTTCGTGCCTTTTTCGGCGTTTCCTAAGCACGATCATTGCACTCCCTGCGCGGATACGCAGAGCTCGGGGCCGCCGTGCAGTGAGCTCAGCGAGGGCAAACGACTGCCGACGGTGTTGCGTTGCCCAACTGGTGAAGCGTGCCCGAACGGGTAAAACGTTATAAAACAGTTACGCTCAACGGGCGCGGGCCAAATTGTCCTGGCCATCGGCCAACGCGGCCAACAGCCAACACCAAGGCATTCGCGTAGAACGGGGATCACGGGCACAAGCTGGGACCTGACCTCCGACTGCTTTTCCCTGACTAACTCCCAATAGCGCCAGCAATGCTGTACTTTAGATAGGAAATCCAGAAAAATGAAGGCAAACCAAGGACCACCCTACACCTCGCGCCAAACTGGTGCATGTGGGCTTGGGGTCAGCAACCAAGGGACACAACACGGAGCGTTGCCCAGCACCCACGCCCCCACTAGCATTGCAGCAGCATGCCCGCGGCAAAGAGCATTGCAACCAAGATGTTACAGACGGGAAGCTGCGGGCCCCGCCTCCGTGAGCGTCAACGGCGGTTCCCCTCAGACCAGGAGGTGCCACTGGGGTCTCTCAGGTCCCAGGCCGCACCTCTTTGGCCGAGGTGACAGGGCAATAGAAACCCTGGCCTGACAGCTGTAACGGCGACAGCGGCGACAGCAGGGGGCAGGGAGAGGGGGTGGGGCGGGCCACTCTCTGGCCCGGAAGCGCAAACAACGTTCACCCTGGAAGTTAATCCAGAGCCGTGCCTAATTCCTTTCGAGATGGGGGCGACGGACACGACGACGCAGCGAGACACGAATGACGACAACGAACAACCACGAGCCTTCCAAGGGAGGTGCCGCCCTCCGCCAGGTTCCTTCTAGCACCCGCGAGCGGGCGGGATAACGAGCCTCACATCAGCGGACCCGCACCGCATTCAGGCGGTGCCACACGGAGCCCAGGCTGCACCGCTGACCCGCGGTGGCGAGGCATTCAAAAATTGCATCGGCCTGACGGCTAGAAGAAGACGGGGAGGAGGCCGAGGAGGAGGAGCACGACGAGGAGGAGGACGAAGAAGAAAACGAGGAGGAGGACGACGACGAGGAGGAGGACGACAGGAGGAGAGGCTGTCCGAGCGGCGCTGCGGGCGGCGACGTGAGCTCCTGAAGCTCCCCGCTCTTCCGACCGGTCCCCTGTGGCTGCCACCCTCCGGCCGCTCCCCCCCTCCGCGCCACGCCCCCATCCGCAGGAGGTCACGTCGGCGGCGCCCCCCGGATGCGCAGGGCTCCAGCAGCTTCCAGACAAGAAGCCTCCAGTCGGCAAAGACCGAAAACGGAAGTCTCCGCCTTCCAGTTTTCAGCGCGTCGAAGGTCCGGGGTGGTCTCTAGGCGACTGGCCTGCAGGGGCGCTCGGCGACCAGTGCTCTCCGGCGTCTTTGCTGGGGAACGCCAGGGCAGAGAGAGGGCAAGGGCGTCCGTGGCTCGGACGCGTCGGCTGCGTCGGGGTGTCGCGGGCTCGGCGCGGTCGTCTTTGGCGTCGTTACCGTGTCGTTGCCCCCTTCTGGGCCGCTTCCGGTAGAGTCAGCGTCGGTTGGCTTCAGCATTCCTGTCGGTTCGGCCAGCGTTCGGTCGCGCTGTCGCCATGGACGGGCTTGCGAGGCGGTAAGGTAGCGAGCCGCCAAGCGAGCAGGCCCAGTAGCAGAGGGGCAGGCGATCTAGCTCAAGGCTCGGCAGGGTCCAAAAGCTGTCCGCCTCGGCTGGCGTGAGAGAGCTCTCTGGCGCGGCGGGAAGGAGTGGAGCTGGTGTGGTTTCCTTGTCATTCATGGCTGATGTCTAGGTAATTATATGAACTCTCATCCACCCCCTGTCTCTTCAGATTTATCCTACTCCCCCCCCCTTCCGCACTCTCTTTTTCCTCGTGCGCATCCCCCCAAAACAACTCGGTGTCGTATCCATCTTGGCGGCCAGGGCGAACAGACCATCGGAGCCATGATCTCCTGGCTGCACCAGGAGGCCACCATACCGTGCCCCGGCTGCACTGGACGTGCAGGAGATGCCAAGAGGGGGCCCCGGGGAGGAGGGCAGGAGGGAGGTGGAAGAGGGGCAGGAGCAGCAGTAGGAGTAGAACGAGGAGCGGGAGATGGGGGAGAAAGAGCAGGCGCAAGATAAAATGGAGGAAAGGGAAGGGGGAGGAGGCGTCAATGTGCACAGGTTGAGCGTCACAGGGTGCCCACCAGCTCCCCCCCTTCCCCCACTCAAATTCGCACTGACGCTGGCCGCAATTCCAGGGACAGTCTGCGAAACAACAAGCCGTTTTGGTGTATAACATCCTAGATGAAGGGATCGGTGAAGATGATGATGATGATGATGATGATGATGATGATGATGATGATGATGATGATGATGATGATGATGATGATGATGATGATGATGATGATGATGAGGAGGAGGAGGAGGAGGAGGAGGAGGAGGAGGAGGATGGTGATGATGATGACGCTGAAGAATATGAAGATGACGATGGTGACCGTGACGCTGGTGGTCATGATTCTGTAGACGATGGCGAAGATGATGACGATGATGATGATGATGATGATGATGATGTTAACGAGGTCGACGATGAGTATGATTGTGATGCTGATGATGGTGATGGTTCTGGCGATGATGACGATGATGATAGTGATGACGATGAAGATGATGATGGTGATGGTGATGATGGTGATGGGGATGATGCTAATGATGGTGACGACGATTGTGGTGAGGATGATAGTGATGGAGAAGGTTATGCTGATGGATACGATGATGAGGATGTTGTTGAGGATGTTGTTGATGCTGGTGGTGATGATGCTGCTGACGATGATGATGCTGATGCTGACAGTGCTGATGATTATGGTAATGACGATGGTGGTCATGGCGATTACGGTGGTGACGATGCTTTGGTAGTAGTGGATGGTGATGATGAGTATGATGATGCTGATGGTGATGCTGATGATGATGATGATGCTGATGCTGATGATGATGACTATTACGATGGGAACGATGATGATGACGGTGGTGATGACGATGGTGATGATGATGGTGATGATGATGATGCCTGTAATGATTATGAGGAGAAGGAGGGGAGGAGGAGGAGAAGATCGGTGAGGACATAGTCCAGGCCTGGAGCGCTGCAGCGGCTCCTCCTCTCAGACGCCTGGACGCCACCGCACCTGTGTGCAGGCGGCACCCATCGGTCTTTGAATGCAGGCACTCTTGGACCCCTGGATTTCAACACTCTACTCTAGGCGCCTTCCTATTTCGTCCTCGTCCTCAATCGTGTTCGCACTCTTGGAATGCAGGCACTCCTGGCCCCCTAGACTTCAACACTCTGCTCTAGGCGCCATCCTATCTCGAGCGTCGAGTGGCTCCCCTTCGTCCTCGATTGTCTTCGGGGGGCGGGCGGAGCTCCCATCCATCTCCAGCGCTTCCCTGGGCATGCTTCGGCCCAATTTGTTCCGGCCGATTGGTACACACTGTTCATTTCTAATTATCTCGGGGGCGGAAAAGAGGGGGGTGATGACTAGGGGGGGGGGATATCATGGCGTGGGCCATGATATTTTCCCAGATTTCGTGGCGCCTCTTCTTATTTCTTTACGTCCCTGGCCCCCCCGCTGGGCCGCGCACATGCCGCCGGTCATGATTTGCACCCCCCCCTCTTGGACACCCCCCTCTTGGCCGCTCCCGACTATCCGTAAGGGCTTCGCCCCCTGCCGCCGGCCCCCTCTCTCGGAGAATGGGCCATGGAAGAGCGAAGTCATGAGACTTTGGCTTCGCCGTGAAGCAGTGTCGGGACCTGTTCTTTTTTCGACCCTGACCCTGCGGATCTGCGTGAGGGGTTCGCCGGATTTCAGAAATGTGGCAAATCTTAATTGTTTTTGGACCCTGACCCTACGGATCTGCGTGAGGGGTGCCACCGGATTTCAGAAATGTGGCAAATCCCCAGTGTTTTTGCAACCTGACCCTTTGGACCCTGACCCCGCCGATCTGCGTGAGGGGTGCCACCGAATGTCAGAAATGTTGCAAATCCCATGTGTTTTTGGACCCTGACCCCGCCGATCTGCGTGAGGGGCGCCAGGAAATTTCAAACAAATGTGGCAAATCCCATGTGTTTCTGGACCCTGACCCCGCCGATCTGAGTGAGGGGCGCCACCGAATGTTGAAAACATGTTGCAAATCCCATGTGTTTTTGGACCCTGACCCCGCCGATCTGCGTGAGGGGTGCCACCGAATCTTTAAAACATGTTGCAAATCCCATGTGTTTTTGGACCCTGACCCCGCCGATCTGCGTGAGGGGTGCCACCGAATTTCAGAAACGTGGCTAATCCCATGTGTTTTTAGACCCTGGCCCCGCCGATCGCGGAGGTGTGTCAATTTTCACCCACCCCAGCAATTCAGACAATACGGTTTGGGCGTGGTAAAAATGCCAGTCTTG